CCCCATGTAAATTATCACTCAATTCACAATGAAACCATAAAAAATTAAAAAATTAGCCTGCTATATTTGGTCAAACATTTCATGAACTCACCCCTAATGTGATGGCAGGAACTGTGGTTACTTTGGCAAGGCCTGACCAAATGATTTCATGGACCTTATACATAAAGCCCTCAGGAATCCTAGTGTGGTACTGTAGCACAAGCACAGGACTACAATACTGGTTTGAACCATAAGGTTGGAGGTTCACACTCATCAGTTACTTCTTGAAAACCCTATATTGGGTCACTAAGGAGCTCTGGTAGTGTAGTGGTTACGAATCGGGCTGCGAACCTTAAGGTCAGCGGTTCGAAACTACCAGCAGCTCCGCGGGAGAAAGATGAGGCTTTCTACTCCCGTAAGGATTTACACCCTCGGAAACCTTGTACAGGGTCGCTATGGGTCGGAACCGACTCGATGGCACTTAACAACAACAACAACAATGAGTCAGAAGTGACTCAGCACTTAACAGCAGCCCAGATGTTCCCCACCCCTGATGTATAGAGATTCCGAGGAGCAGCTGGTGAGTTTGAACTGCCGACCTTGTGCCTCAAACTGACCTTAAAATCCAGGGCCTATCCTACAATGCCACATGAGGTAGGTCTCTTGCTTCTAGATAGGCGGTTAGATTTTCCTCAGAGCAAGGGAAGCTTCACTCCCAGGGCCCTGAACTATAGTCCCATTCAAGTCTCAGGGAGGCCCTCCCCCCTGTGTTTTTGGAAGGGTGCATTCTTTTTCATAAAGAGGACCACTGGGCTTGAATAAGCTGCAGGTCCCTAGATCAGCCCTTGGCCTCTCCCAGGGCTTTGAAAAGGGTCTGCAAGTGAGAGGCCCTGGAGTACCAACCTCTTTACTTCAAACAAACCCACCTTCAAGCAGGTCAAATAAACACCTAAGCCATCCAGATAGCTTTCAACTGAAGCTCTGAGGCCAACTGCCTACCACACAGATGTCTGACGGAAGTCGGCCTCCTTTACACGAGCCATCTTGTTTCCACTGCTCTTACACTGCACCGCCCAACTACAGCCTACAACACATTCCCACAACACTGGCTTCCCTATGAATAGTCAGGTGTGAATATTAAGTAAACAGAAGAATAAACACTGTATATCATGGAGACCAAGCCAAGAGAGGTTCTCTGGAGAGTTAAACACCCACTAAAGGCATTGGCATGTTTTATAATCTTTTTAAATATCCACAGATATTGGGAAGTCATTTTTCTTTTTCCTGTCTAAACAGGGCGTGCCGACTTTCTTCCTGAGAAAGGAAAAGGATTCCGATATCCGTTCAAATAATACTCATTTTGCTAGCATTATCTCAGCTCTCTTTCTCCTCTTAATTGCTCTCCACGCCCATAAAGGGAAATAAATAAATAACAACCTTCTACTGACTCCAGCTGCTTGGTCCTAATGATAAATAACCACCTTCTAGTGAAACTGTAATTATAAGACAAACGGTACACAGAGCCCTAAGCGTCCGGTTCCGGCAGGAGGCCTCGCTGCCCTGGAGAATCCGTGTCATTAGCTGCAGCTCCTGCTGGGACCTGCACCGGCCTGGGTGCAGAACATTCTTTTAGGCTCCACTGTCCACCAAACCACAGGGGAAGCTGCAATTTGCTTTCCACATCTGCCCTGGTGCCTCCTTTTTTTTTTTTTTTTTTTCAGTTCAAAACCTCACCTTTACCTTTTCACAATGGGTATGGTGGGAGTGACCTGCAAGGGTGAAAGATAAAAAATGCCTGTTTAACTACAAAGGCAGGGCCAACTTTAAAAGGGTAAGGCCTAGTGTGGTGCCGTGGGCTCATGTGCTGGGCTGAAATGCTTTAAGGGTTGCTATGGGTCTGAACGGCCTCCTAGTCGGCACTTAACAACAACAACAGCACTTCACCTTTGCAAACAATAGCCACCTGCCTGTCGTGGTCTGTTTACGGTCTAGAGGAGGGGTTGGTGGCTGCTTTGTTCTCACTTGCATAGCAAGCTCTTTGCAGCACATGACGCACAGCTAAATGACCTTGAAGAGGATGCTGAAAATGTGTTCTCTGTATTTTATCCAAGACCTAGCATGGCCAGATTAAGAAGAGATGCTGATCTAGAGCTGACCAGGTCCTCTTTAAAAATGCACCATTACAGGAAGCACAGACTGTGGATTCAAAGTGCTGAAATGAAAAACCGATCCACTTGGGAGCATAAAACTTGGAGGGGAGGGCATCTATGCTGACTCGGCAAGTTATCTAGCACACTGTCCAACAAGGAACAAATGACACATGTGCTTGCACACACACGCACACACACGCCGAGGCCAGCCACCTTAGAGCTCACAATGAAATCACTGAAAGTAAAAGAGAACAGTGTGTTTGTTACACAGTGAGAAGAAAACAGGCTGACAGCAGCCCTGGACAAAGGGAAGGCCACGCTAACATGGTGCTGTGGGTTAATGCGCCAGACTGTAAAGCCGTTTGAACTGCAAGGCCGGCAGTTCAAACTCACCAACCGCTCCTCGGAAACCCTATACAGGGTTGCTATGGGCCGGAACCAACTCCATGGCACTTCACAATAACAACAATGTTAACAGCAGACATAACAATCTCGCATGCCCAATGACAACCAAACACATGACACCCCCTGATTTCTTGGTATCTACACAGTTCAAGCTCACCAGTTACTCCTTGGAAACACTATATAGGGTCACTATGGATCGGAACTGACTTGACAGTACTTCACAACAACAACAACAATACATCTATTAAATGCTTGACCCCAAGAAACCCTTTCGTGTGGAGGGAGGTGACAGTAGAGCACAGGTTAGGGGGCAGACATATCATAGTTCAGGTGTTGGGGAGGGCGATACATGCGGAGGAGGAGGGGATGGAAGAACTAGGTAGATGGGGGAACACTGAGACAGGTTTGCACAGGCTAAATGGGACAGAAGTAAACATGATCAACCTTGGAACAACAGGGCTCTGTGAGACAGGGATCGAGGCATAGTCTGAAGAGGGGAAATGAAACTAAGTTGCTTGGCTGTCTTACAAATATTGGTTTCCCTTGCCTTGTTGTTGTTAAGTGCCATCGAGTAGGTTCTGACTCATAGCTACCCCCGTATAGGGTTTCCAAGGAGCAACTGGTAAGCTTGAACCACCGACCTTGCAGGTCAAATGGCTTTGAAGTCTGGCGCATTAACCCACAGCGCTACACCAGGACTCCATTGCCTACTATTGTAAAAAAAGAAGCCCTTTGTGTCCTCCTGAGGCCGGCAGTTCTGCCCAGACTGAGGACCAAGGATGCAGAACTAGGGGGTAGGGTGGCAGAGCCTGAGCGAGGCAGTCTCTCAGCTTCCACTTCCTGTCTGTCAACCTTGAGTGGCTCACACAGACTGCCGGAACCACCGTTTCCTGCCTAACTTACATAATAAATAAAGGACCAAACACCACAAAGCGCCTTATTCATAAGTCGTGACCTTTCTCGTTCCTTGACACCAGAAGATTCTGGTTACTTACTGGACATTTATTATATGCTGGCCTCTGGGGAAGGCACAGTGAATACATCATGGTTTCTTAATAAATTACATAATTGAACAGATCATACCCAAACTAAGCAAGCTCACTTGCTGTGACTCAGAGCAAGCCAATGGGACAGAGGAGAACAGCTCCTTGGGGTCTCTGAGACTGTGCATCTTCTCAGGAGCACATTGCCTCATCTTTCTCCCACAGAGTGGTTGGTGGGATTGAACTACCGACCTTGCAGTTAGCAGCCCAATGATTAACCCATAGTATCACCTATGGATTATGACTTTAACAGCTATGACGTGACATGACTACAGTTTTGGTTTCTGGCAAATGAAATGGGAGAGTGAAGAGAGGAGGTAAACTTAAAGCCTTTAGAAATCAATTCTGATGTAACACAGCCTATTAGAATGACTTCTGAGCTATCAGCTGGATTTCAAGAAGTTGGCAAGGGCCCGAGTTCTGCCTGGTGCTTCTCTGTCAGCTATTGTCAGCTACTTGCCAAAAGTTCAGTGTGGTGTGAGGCTGGAGGGAGGAACCTCATAGCTGAGAGCCAGGATTTGGTGCCCTTAGAGTACATGGGGTTAGTTCCACCCCAGCTGCTGCAACACAAGAGCCTGGAACAGAAAAAGGACCCTCCGTGTCTCACTCCTGAGGTGGGGTTTCTGAGAACAGCACAGGCTGGAAAGCAGGGAGTCTAGGGAAAAGGGAAGGCTCTGCCTGCTCCATCTTGCATGGGTTATAGGTGGATTGGAGGTGGCAAGAACATCTGGGCCTGAGCTAGTTCACCTGCGTGGAGCAGGCCTGCTCACCCGGCCCTCCACTCACAAAGTCAGGGCTTGGTTACCTCTGCTCCAGGCAAGATGGCCCAGAGAAAGCCCACAGGGCCCAGGCAGACCCTGCCGGTGTCAGGAAAAGTGGCAGCCCTGGGTTGTGGAAAACAGCGGTCAGCCAAAAGCGAAAACCAAAATTACCAAAAGGAAAAGCAGGAAGAGTCCACGTCATAAAAACAGCAAGGAAGAGTTTTGCATTTAACACCCACATGTCCTACTTTCACTCTCCCAAGAGATAATTCCGTCCTTCAGATACTGGTGCCAAATGTTTGCTCAGAGCACAGGGAAGCCTATGGTGACTGCGGCACTTGAAGCGGAGCTGGCTTGAATGCAGGACCCCCCGGGATCAGCCTGGTCCTCCAGCAGGGTCTGTGGGTGTCCAGTGTATGTACACCATCAGAGCTGCGGGTCCTTCATCGACACTGGCCCCTTCTAAGCAGTGTGCATGGACCTGGGATCCCACAGAGTCCCAGGACCTAGGAAGGACCAGCTCCTTCCTCAAGCAGCCCATTAGGTGAAGCTTCTTAACCAGCCCCCTGCCCCAAGCACACAGGCCCCTGTGAATGCGGCAGCGCCCAGGGCTACGTCACATGGCTGCAGGGGAGCAAATCACTGGCCACCAACCTACTCACCATATACGAGGGGAAGATCAGAACTCGCTTGTGCTTGCCACAAGGCCACTGTGGATCGTCCAGAAGATTGGGATCATAGTCCAGGAAATCTCCTAAGTCACTACCTGAAGGTCATAGAAAAGTCATAATTAGGGGCTCGGGATGCTCAGAACCAGAGCCCGGAGCAGCAGGGAGAAGGTCAAAGCTGGATCGAAGACACGCAGATCCTCTCGTCCCAAGTCACGGTGTCCCCCTGACAATGAGGTACATGTTATTGTTGTTGTTAAGCACCACCCAGTGGGTTCTGGCTCTTAGCAACCCTGTGTATGGTTTCCAAGAGCAGCTGGTGGGTTTGAACCGTCGGCCTTGTGGTTAACAGTCTGGTGCTTATCCTCCAGCACCACCCCAGGACTCCACTGAGGCACATACAGCTCCCATAAAGGTTTTATCAAATCCTTAACATTCTGGTATTTTTTATTTTTTCTATTTTAGATAACGATGGACTCATCTCGCTGATCCAGGAGACAACAAAACTTCACGAAGCATGGAAGCTGCAGACCACCTCTAGGACGAGACAGCAAAGCAGTGAAGGGCATCTGCTGCATTTGCCAAGCAGACTGACGAGCTCAGTTGTACCTTCTGAGCACTATTCGATGTGACCACTTCTGGGCTGGCTACTGGTCACTGTGACTCACCCATGTCATAGGGACACCCATCAGAACATGACCCACACCTCTGAGAGTCCTATGACACCCTTCACAAAGGGGTCTCTCTCTCTCTATTGCATCTTTTACTAAAGCTGGGGAAAACTGGGAGGTCAACTCACCCAGCACGGTAATCAGAGGAGTTCGCACACCCAAGCCTATGTTGTTGTTGTTAAGTGCTGCTGAGTCAACCCATAGCGACCCTGTATAGGTTTCTGAGGAGCGGCTGGTGTGCCTGAACTGCCAATCTTGAGGGTCAAATCAACTTTGCAATGTAGCACATTAACCCACAGCGCCACACCAGGACTCGATAAACCTGTGTTTGTTGTTGTTGTTGTTAAGTACCGTGGAGTCAGTTCTGACCCTGCACAGGGTTTCGGAGGCTGTAAATCTTTAGGGGAGCAGAATGCCTCATCTTTCTCCCGTGGAACCGCTGGTAGTTTCAAACTGCCGACCTTGAGGTTAGCAGCTCGATTCGTAACCATTACGTTACCAGAACTTATAAACCTGTGTTAGAGGCCTAATTATTTGACAGAAAGCCAAACTGAGTGTGTTGAAAATGTAGGATGCCTAGCCACCCATGCAGGCTAGCCTGCGGCAGGTGTCCACGGCATATCTCTTGGCGGGCCCTTGTATCTAATTAGAGGGGACTTCGCCCTGCGCCTTGATTGTGAGTTGGTCCAGCGTGAAATTAAGCTTTCCAAAAGTCACAGAGGCTGCAGGGTGAGCTCGTGCTCCATGGGCACCTGTCTCCCAGCCCATACACCTATACTCATGAGCTCCCAGGTCCAGCCAGGCTGCCAGCTCACCTGTGTCGAGACTCCCCTGGGTGCTGCTCGCCCGTCCAATGGAGAGGCTGCGGTGGCTCAGGTTCCGGAACTGAGAGAAGGAGGAGGTGGAGTCTAAGGTGCTTCTCCGGCTCCCGAAGGCGTTTGTGGGTAACAGAAATTGGGTATAAGAAACAGTCTGAAAGGAGAAAACAAGAACGGGCAGGCAATTGTTCTCAGGTACGCAAGGGTCCACATTCTGACTAAGCTGTGTTACTGCCCGCCCAAGTTCAGGTCCACATGTTCACATGTGCAGTTCAAAGTTCCAAGAACACCTGAAAAATGACTTTTATTTCATTATTCAACTGTGCCAAATCTGGCCCAAGTCTAACCTGATTTGGCGTAAGGCTATGGCTGTTAATTGCTCTCCCTTAGTACTTATTTCTGTTCTGCTACAGAAACAGGTACATGTTTGCTAACAAGGTACTCTCTCAGAAACTGTTGCAGGTATTGCATAGAATATGACAGACACACCATGTTACTTCTGATCACCCACCAAAGGTAGAATTCCAAAATACACCTGACCCCAAGAGTCTCTGATAAGAAACTGTGGGCTCTGAGCAGGTTCGTTTGGCAGACGCCGTAAATTACCCCACATTCCAATGCGAATGCTCAACTTTCAGGAATGAGACAGAACAAGTGTTTCTTTCCATCTGCATGGAGAAAACATGTCACAGGCCCAACACCTTGAGCTCAGGGGTAATGTGACCTGGCATGAGGGGGAAAAGGGGGCTGGAGGGTGTGTCTCAATCTTAGCAGCCACATCAAGCAAACAACTCAGGGGACAGTTTCCCCAAAGAAGGGCCTCCAATGTCGCCATAAATAGGCTCTGGGAAGGCTTATGAGGTCTGTCAGGGATCTAGCATGAAAAGGTTAAATTCATCTTGCCACCTTTCACTCCTCAGGCATCAACCCAGCAGCCTGCTGAAACGTGACCCTGAGGAGGCTGACAGTGTGAAGCCGGTGAGGTTCTTAGCTTCTCAGAGCCGTGGGCTACAGGGCTCGAGAAAACTTTCTGGTAGCAGGGATGTGGCTTGCTGACCCCGTCACTGAATGAATGGTCAAACTGCCAGCTACTATGTCATACCATGGCATGTGTGCGATACCAGCAAGCATAGAATTACTTGGATAGAAACAGCATTGGCAGAAAAACTGACTGCTCTCTGGGAGATCCAGTGGTACTGCTGCTGATCCTCTGGCTTGGAGGGAAATTGTGTGCATGCTGGGAGAACTGGGGAACTGGCAAGACAACTCAGGATCTGTCCCTGCCCTTCCCTGCCCTCAGGCCCAGTGTCCTCCACCAAAAGACAGTGCGGCTGGGGTCCTGCAGGCAGCCCTGCTCCCTGTGTAGGAAGCCTGGTAGCCTTACCTTCCCGTCAGCACCCAGCTCCACGCCCTCCAGACCAATGATCTCTTTCAAGCTCACGGCGCCTGCTGACTGTCTCCCTCCTTCCAACTTCAAATCCCTGAGGAGGATAAGCCAAGAAAATGCTTTGGTCCCCCCTAAAAATGCCACAATGATGTTTACTGCACAAGACACCCCAGTCACACCTGTGAAAATGACTGAAGGGCATCTCAGGGGCCCTCTGCCTGCAGTTTCACCTTGTCTCATCCACCTGGAAGTAAGAGGGGACTTCAGAAAGTTCATGGAAAACGGAATTAAAGATAATAGAATTTCTCGTAAAAGGAATCTACCAGAACAGAAAGCCCAAAGACAAAGTAGGGCTTGGAAATGGTGGGTGCCAGCACCCTCCTCCTCCCGGCTCCTGCCCTCTGCGCTTTGGGAGCCAGTCAGGAAGGTGGTGCTCTTGGATGTTCAGGTCTCCTTCCCATATTCTTAATTAGGTGGGAAAAACACATTCCTGTCCTAGACAGCTCTCAGGTTTATGCCTCATAATGACAAAATTAATGGCGCCGTAATCACCCTGGCCACCTTGCAAGCCCACTTGGAAAATGGCTATCTTCCTGTAAAAGAATAATCAACAGTAATATGGGTCAGCATGCAGACAGCACACCATACATTACAAGGGCAGTCACACGTCACCTCTGTCACACTCTACAATAACTCTACGAGACAGGATTTACTATCATTACCCTGTTTTCCAGATGAGGAAACTGAGGCCCAGAGTCAGGAAGAGCCTTGTCCAAGATCAGGAATAGTATGAGGTAGAGACCGCCTTTCCACCCAATGCTCCTTCTAGTCTGGCACGTTGCCTCTGAGGTACAAGATGGGCTCACTGTAGCTGAACTTACATGCAACTGCTCAATTTTCAAAGGCCCTGCCCTCTTCCCTTATACGACTAGTTGTTCTGAGTAAGCCGGTATTGGGTGAGACCTGGGCATTAGGAGTCCTAAAAGCTCCCCACAACCCAACCCATCCCAACCCATTGACGCGAGTGGACTCCAACTCTTAGCATCGCTACAGGACAGAAGGAAAAGAGGATTCTTGGTTTAGTTGTACTGCTACTCTGGCCTATAATTCCAGGGACAACTATTCTACCTCGATGGGGAGTGTAACTAGTGACAGTTTTCTAAATAAATGCCATGACCTGCATGCACTAAGTCCCTGTTGCAGACCGTGAAGGCCTGGTCAGAGGTTCGAGGCCCTATAGGCCCGAGTGTTACAGATCTAGCCATCTGGCAGTTAATAACAAATTATTTTTCATCTTAGTGTCCAGTTATGTTTTACTAAATGCAGACATGAAGCCCTTGCTATACACAGATAAATGTAATATTTTCCTAAAAGTCAAGACTGTAAAATTCCAAACAGGCAAAGTTCTTCCCTCAGAGAACTCATTCAAGGTAAACTGGGTGGCTCCCTGGTCTGTTCCAAGGACAATAGGAATGCCCTCCCTAAAGTGTTTCCAGGTGCTGCCTATTCATCCAGGCGCCTCTTTTCCTGAAGAACCTGGGCTGGGCAGCCGACATAATGGGAATCCTCCCGATCCTCCCTTTCCTCCCTCCATTTGAGGCTAGGTGCTAAAAGGTATGTTAATTAAGCTTGAGAAGCCAAATTGCGGTCGTGAGATTTGAACCTGCGAAGTAAAGTAAGATTGACAGCTGTACCTTGTCTTAGCCCCTCCTAACTTTGTGTAAAGTACCTCCCCTAAATAGAAGGAAGGCGCAGAACGAATCCAAGTGCATTACAACTGGCAAGGCGTGCGTTATAGCATGCAGGGGGCACAGTCCAGCCTTGCAACCATACTGCCTGTTTAGCTAAGATGTTTACTATGCAGGATATTACGGCCTTCATGGCTGAGATGTTTGCAATGCAGGATCGGCCTGATGCCAGTCCAGCATTCACTCTGGTTTCGGAGTGTCTCTTTGCCTCTCTCTTAGTCTCTTTCTGTGTATTCTTGCTATATCTCTATCGCTGCCAGGTATCTCCTTCTCGTGAACCGAACCCCTATGTAGAGGCAAGTCCCCGACAAGTCCCAAACCTTTAAAACAGTTGTCGTGGGAGATGCTATGTTGCAATCGGTGCTCAAAATGCCTCTGAAACCCCTTTTGGAAATACCATCAAAATCATGTTGAAAAAGCAAGCCAGCTACCCACCCTATTGTCTGAAAATGTCCTACATATTCATATATATGAAGAGATCTCAAAAGTTGGTGAAAAATGGAATGAAAAGATAATGGATTTTTTTATGAGCTTTTTGAAGCACACTTGTGTATCTACAGATAGTGTTTACTCTAAACAGTATTACCTTGTTTAATCACTACACCTATACACCCGACTATAAATAACTTCAGATTATTTCAAACATCAAATTGACCCCTTGAGAATGGGACAGAGAGGTCAGTAACTGAACTGTGTGAATCCTCCCAGAGAATCTCAAAACTTCCCCAAGTAAAGTGATGCTGCCGGGCTGTGTCTGACTCCCTCGGGAGCCTCCTGCTATGTGAGCACCTGCCATCTACTCACTCCCAAGTCCAGGATTCCTAGGTCTCATGGCTTTAGAAACATGGCTGTCCCTGGTAGCACAAGGTTGGAGGTACAAACATACCCAGGGGTACCCCCAGAGGATAGGCCTAGAGGTAACAGGCTTCCAAAAAGTCACACTCTTGGAAACCCTGTGAAACAGAACTCTACTCTGCACACGGGATCACATGAGTCACATGACTGTGATGGTATGGCTTTTTAAAAAATTTTTTTAAATTTATAAACACTCACTGTCCCAACTAAGAGATATGCAATCAGTTTAGTGATCTTAAATCCAGTGCTGGCAAGACCAAGTGCTAGAGGCTCAGCAGGTTCACCGAGGCTAAGCAGGCAGCCCCCATATCTCAAGAGTGTGAAGCCCCATGTAGCCACCCCACAGTGCTGCTCGGCCTTTGAAATGAGAAATCCTGGCCCGTTCTCAAAAAGCTTCCCAGAGCAAATACGGACGGAGATGATGAATGCCTTGGAGCACTAACAAAGGGAGATGCCTACAAAGCAAAAACCTGAACAGGCAACGAGGCAAAAATATCCCCAGCGGTGAGGGGCAGAGGACCACAGGGAGAACAGGAGGTATGCTGGTACAAAAAGAGCATCCTCTGTCTCTTTCATTTCATTAAAGGACCCACCGCACAGTTCTGCAGACTGCCTACTTTCCCAAAGCCAAACCCAGACAGCTTGTTCCTCAAATTCTCAGCTTCCAGACAGTTTTCTCCTGTGTCCATATGCCACACAGAGAATGTTATTTATGGCTGAAAATTAATATCTGAGCAGAGACTATCTTTATGGGGTGAGATGGCCAAGATAAACAAGGACCATTAAAAGACACCGGTATTGGGAGTTCTCTTAGGCAGAGGGCTAACTGTGGACAGAAACTGTATCCTGTGTACTCAATGTATGTTCAGTGTATGTTGTTGTTGTTAAGTACCGTCAAGTCAATTCCGACCCATGCGACCCTGTATAGGGTTTCCGAGGAGCAGCTGGTGAGTCTGAACCACCAACCTTGCAGTTCAAACGGTTTTGCAGTCTGGCACATTAACCCACGGCGCCACACCAGGACTCCACTTAAAGAAAAAGGTCCTGAGTGGAGGTGGTCTGGATCTTTGCTGTCTCACTGGCAATCGTTTATATCTTATCCCTTTCATTTGTCTTGGGTCTCCTCATGAACTCACTGCTTCCTTGGGGCAGTCCTGCCCTTTGCCACCTGGCCCCTGACTGCTAAATGCACACTACAACAGTTCACAGAGGAAGTAAAAGCCCTAACAAAAAACATGCTTAACATGCTCACATAAAACCCAAGACTTCTCTCCATGAACTACACTCTGCTGAAAGAAATGGATCCTCTGACCCAGTGTATGCTTTCACGATCACATTGAAACACCAAGAGGTAGAACTCCATGCTTCATATGTATGAATCAGTTGCTAGGGGATTACATTGTTGGAATGCTTCATAGCCTTATACTTTCTAAATAGATAAGGCCGAGCCAAGTAGAAGATGAACCCCGACTCAACAGCTACTGGAGCTCATTCTAGACCAGCATCATCCAATAGGATGTTCTACAATCATGGAAATCGTCCTCTGCACCGTCCAATATGGCAGCCTCATGTGGTTCTTGAGAGTTTTGAAGTGTGACTTCTTGACTGAGGAATAGAATTTTTATTTCATTCAAATTAATTTAAATGTAAATAGCCAAGAAGAGGAAGGGGTGGTTGGTCCACAGTATGCTGAGATCTGGGGACACCTGAGTTCATTCATGGACAAGGACATAGCCACAGAGGGCTAGTGCTGATAATGAAGCATCCAGCTGATAAGAAGTGAGGGGAGACACACAAGAGCACCCAAACTTGTAGATAGTACCCATTTGACCTAGCTTTGATGCCTTGCTAATCAGAACTCGACTAGAGGGAGATAAAAACAAACAAAAACATTTTTTATAAAGGAAATGAGGGTAATTGTTACAATTTGATGAACTTGACCTACACTCATGGAGGTAATAGCTCAAAAAGTAGTATCAATGCTATCCCCTCTGTATACTGGGTAGGTAGGGACAGGCAACTTAGACATTGGCTACCTAAAATGAGGGGGCAATAAACACACAAAGTGACTGCCTTACAAGGTTTCAAGATGGAGTTAAATTTAAGAGTGTGTCGGGGAAGATAGAGTCCCCACTGAATAGTTTTCATCTTGTCTAGAAGGGTCTGGTAAAAAGAGATGGGGATAAGATTCTTACGCTTCAATAGTGAGTAATTGTTATCATGACTAATTGTGACTGTCACAATTGTAAAGGTATAAGTTTTGTAACAAAAAGGGGGAAGTAGTTAATCTTCCAGACCAGAAACAGAGGACCCTAGGACCATTGAGGGAGAAGAGCACAAGCAGAATGCGGGACCCTATCCAGACAAGCAGGGACACCAGAGAAGGAGGCAGAGATGGGGACATGGAGAAAGGGGAGACTGAGGACTCTAGATTCATGGAAAGAAAGGGACTGAGAGCTGGCGGGCAGAAGGCAGACTTGCAGAATGTGCC